GTCTTGGGTTATCAGCTTCGGTTGGATTGTTCTGGGGAAATGGACTTAACTGCATCCATCAGGGGATCCGCTGGGGGCAAGGGTTAACTGCACTCTGCTGGATGCTGGAGCGATAAGGAAGAATGATAATATTTGGCCTTCACATTCAGGAAATTGACAATATAGGCAGGAAGTTGTTCAAATTGACCAATATTTATTAAGCACTTACTGTGTGGCAGTCCTATACTAGATTTGGAGGGATTTAACAAAGGATAAGAAAAGATACTTTCTCTGATGGAGCTTTTAAAACAGTGGGGAGATAAACACGTACACAGCCAACAATAATAGAAACAAGACAGTGATAACTGAGTAGCAGTGGGACAGAGTGGCTAGATGGGACTATGAAACCTGCACCTATGTCAGACTGACTCAGGCATTCTTAGGGGAGGGAGATGCACATGGACCTGCATGGCCAGGGAAGCCGTAGGGGAGGGCCAACTTTAGCTGGGCCCTGAGAGGTGGAGCCAGAAGAGGTGTCCCGTGTGAGAAGCACAATGTAAGAAGGCCTGGAGACTGAATAATGGCGAGAGTTCTGAGCTAAGAAGCAATGTGATTGGAATGGAAGAGGGGCTGGAGACCTTGTGGAGAGTCCTAAGAAAGAAGAGGGACATCTAGGGTAGAATGACTTGGCAACCAGACAGAGGATTTTCTTTTGATTGAAGAATGGAGAGAGATTGAATTGCTTGGTTTGGCTCTAGAATAGATGAGTACTCCCAAACCATACCCTTGGGGTGTTATCAGCCTTCTCTACAACTTCCTGCCTCCTAGGGTGCTCAGGGTGAGAGGGCCTAGATCCCTGAAATATGCTGTGTTTTACACCCTGAACTAGCTGAAGGCTGATTAGGGTCACTGCCATCACTCCTGATGACTGGCATTTCCGCCTTCAGGGAAATGACTCAGGATGAGAGTGAATATTGCACTTTATACGGAGAACCAGACACCTTTCATTTACACAGGGCACAGACAAGAAAGATGCGCTTACGTAGTAGTGGGAAGGATTTGGGTTGGACATAAGGTAGTCTGCCTGTTAGTAAGATTTGCTGCAGTGTCAGGATAGATTCCTAAAGAAATCTATGGAATATTCTCTTCTGAAGATCTTTCAGAATGAGATAGATATAACTCAACTCTCTGGAATGAGAGGTATTTATTGTTCAGTTGTTCCACACCCCTGTTATGAGTGGTAAAAGTCAACTTGGTATTCTTTTCTGCCCTGTGTGTCTGCTTTGCAGTTCCATCAGCACCAGAGAATCCCAGAATATTTGCATTACCAAGTGGAAAATACCACAAGAAGAATGAAGTTGTGGTGGAATTTAGGTGGGATAAGCCTAAGCATGAAAATGGTGTGTTAACAAGATTTGAAATTTTCTATCAAATATCCAACCAAAGTGATACAAACAAAACATTCGAAGACTGGATTGCTGTCAATGTCACTCCCTCAGTGATGTCTTTTCAACTTGAGGGCATGAGTCCCAGGTGTCTCGTGGCCTTCCAGGTATGAGGGAGAACATGGAGATACGGGAGTCTTAATCGTGCAAACAGAAGGTTAATGAAAAGCCTAGGTGAAGAATTCTGCCACTCCGTGAGGAATTTGGGGTACGTTGTGATCAGAGGGGTCAAATGGGTGGCAAAAATACAGAAAGGAGAGGAGCTAGCACAGGTAAAGGACATCTGGACAACTTTCCCACACTCGGGATACTTCTTAGATTCAGAGTAAACCATTCTTTTTCTTTTGAATCTGTATCATGATTTTATTTATTTATTTATTTTAAATTACACACTCCTGATTTTTTTTGTATTTTTAAAATTGATGTATCATAGTTGTACATATTTTTAGGGTACATGTGATCTTTTTATAAACCATTATTTTTCATCCTTATAAGCCATCTACCACTGTAGGTACTTTTATATTCATTATCTCATTTGATCCTCCCACTGCAAAGAAAAAGCCAGGTCTCCGGGTGTTTCAGTCGGTTACCAAAGCTGCAGCGCTGGGAATCATCTGGACGTCCTGACTCGGAGCTGCCAACGGGAATAAAAGCTGGGGGTTGGCGTAGGTGATATGTCACAGTTACCACCTGTCCATGGATAGAGCAGAAAAGAGAGAATAGCAGTCAAAAAAATTCCATTGCCACCCTATTCTGACATTTTAAATTTCATATGAAATAGCTCTCCAGTTATAATAGCTGGCTAGATGATTTTAATATCCTCATTAATGACCGTGTTGGTGATAATGTGCACATTTAGAGTTATTTTCCATTTTGTCTCAGGGAAAATGTTTTGAGAAGTGTTTTAGAGATT